GGTGAGCAACAGTACTGTGCATCACTCATGTTTATTGTTCTTTTCCTTTCCCTCTTGTATTTTTTTTAGTTTTATATTCTCTCCCCTTGTTATTTCCCTTATTATTATTATTATTAGTGGTAGCAGTAGTAGTTTTATATTGTATTTTAGTTATTGGACTGGTTTTGTCTCAACTCGTGGGGTTTACATTCTTTTAATTCTCCTCCCCATCCTGCCCAGAGGCAGGGGTAAGGGTGGAGTGAGCAAACAGCTGTGTGGTGCTGAGTTACCAACTGGACTTAAACCACGATGCCCAGAGAGAAAGACATATCTCTCCTGCTTTACACACTTAACTCCTGCTTCTACTCCTGTGGCTCCTTACCCATTTTATATTCAACATTCAAAAGATATACTTGCCCCTCTTCAATAACCCTAGAACAAGCAGAATTGATGTTTCTCACCTTGTCTTCAGTGAAGAAGTCTATCCAATGAGATATAAAATCATACTTTAGTTAGACCTGTGGCTCAAATATTCCTGCCTGTTAGAGCTTCAGCAAGACAGGTGAGGGATTCTCCTTCCCTTTCTTGCTCCAGTGGCTAGGGCTTGCTCCTGGCATGTAAGGGTTATGGCTTCATATTTCTCCAGTGGGCACTGAGATCCTGTCTCCTCCTTCTTGCACATGATACTATTACGGCAAAGGATACTTTCATCTTCCAGCAATGTTTTATGAAAAAAACAAGAACATACTGGTCAGATGTCTGATGTAGGTAGCTATCCAGGAGTATCTGTCTCCTAGTGATGTCTGTCTCACAGAGCTTCTAAAGCCTTTCCTCTGCTCTCCTCCACTCTCCTCTGCTCTCCCCTCTTCTCTCTTCTCCCATCTTCTCCTGTCTTCACAGCTGTCTTGTGCATGTGAATTCTTGCTGTAATTGTGAACTCACGTTTTCTCGCTGGGGCAGAGGTACTCCATTCACCATCCCTACAGTTGGCATGCTTGGCTTTGGGAATTACAGCACTGAGCACTAGAAATGTTCTCTTCATTGCTGGGGCTGGGCTCAGGCTCCTAGGTCATGGTTGTGGTTTCAGCTAGTTGACAAAACTCCTTAAGAAAAGGGATATTTAGCATTGCAAATCATGAAGACTTTTGTGGCTTGAACTCTCAAGTTATTCTTCATTCATCATTCAGAGACAGCTTTGGCAGAAGAGGGTTGCTGGCTTGTGTTGTAACTGGTGAAATTAAAAATTCTGAAACTGCTGAAATCGAGCCCAGGGATTAATAATGTGGCTGCTGTTAACTGGGAGTGCTGTTTCTGTGCCACAGTAAAGAGACCAACTACACAAATAGTTATTCTGTCAATGTATTCCAGATCTCTTGACATCTCTCCTCATTCTCTTTTCAGACTCTGACTCCCTCCATTTTGTTGCATTTTCTGGTGTAGATTCGTGCTTAGTTCTGCTCTGTGACAGGGACAAAGTGCTACTATGGATACATTGAAAACTCCAGAATGTTCCCATTTTACACCTGAAACAAAGAGATTGAGCCAAAATGCAAGACACTTCTGAATTTTCTGAGTGCACTTCATACAAGGCAAACCTGATGTAGAAAGAGAGGTGTATATTTTATTTTTCTTTTTACCAACACTGATTGTTTGTTTTCACTTGCTCTTTCAGGCTTTATTTAAAAGGTCACAGTGGAACAGCTGGAAAACAGAGTAGCCTGATTTTACATGGTGCTGAATTCAGTACAAAAGATGCTGACAATGACAACTGCATGTGTAAATGTGCTCTCATGTTGACTGGAGGTGAGTACAACTCTGAAAATATGTGGTACATTGACAGGAATTTACTCTGTTTTCCTAAAGCAACCATGGATGAAGTTTCACTCACAGATGTGTAAGTACTGTGTGAAAATTCCTTTTACTATTATTACTCTTACTCTTTTCTGTATATATATATTGTGGTAGTGACAATACCTCAAGATTCCTATCAGCAGGGAAGGGATTACTCAGAGATGCAGTCAGTATACTGCACTGTACAATTTCAAGTAGGAAAGCATAAGTTATTGTTGAGGCAAGAAAGGCAAAGTAAGAGAAGAGATAAAGAGGGTGAAGAAACTTTGTGAGAAGTAGGAGAATCAGCTGGAAAAAAGAAGAAAAAGAATGCAGGGAATTTGGTGTTAGAAAGTAAGGTTTAAAAACAATCAGAATCTGGATTTGCAATATATTATCTACCTCACTTAAGGGTGTGATTCTGTTATTGGAATAATTATAATGATTCAGCTGTCTTACATGTGTGTAATACATACGTTTATATAAACCTAATTAATGCATTAGCCAAATAACTCACCTGTGAAACACCGGACCTGCAACACCCTGTTCAAATTGTGGCACATAGCTGTTCTGAAAGATTCAAGACAGTATCCTTCATGAGCTCAGCTGAACTGCAGAAGGAAAGAAAGAAGAGTTGAGGTGGGGGAAACTCAGAGAAGTTATACTGGGAGAGTTAAAACACCAAGTCAAGTATAGTGTATATGACTGATACTTGTTCCCTACAGTGCAGAGGAGGAATATCTGAGATGATCACACTATACAGACACCTAAAGCTCTGTAAAAGAGTGAGAAGTTTCACTGGAAAATTATGCTTATTCTTAGTCCCTATATGGGCAAGCTCATTTTTTGTGTCTAGGACACAACATGAAAGCAGAAAGATTCAATTGGGATTCTTTGGTTCATTGACTATACGACAAAAAAACCCCTTATCTTCACATCTGATCTGCTTCAGAGACTCTCCCTCAGTGATTTCTATCTTTCATGTTAAAAAAACTTATAGTGTGTAAATTATTCAGTATTTTGAATCAGACTGCTGAACTGGTATTATTTGTGGTTACCGGCACTCAGACTGAATTAATCTCAGGCCACATTCAGGCGTACATGAGCCTCTAAAGGTATCACCTGCTAACAGAAGATAGGTTCCCATCACTGGGAATTTATATCAGATGCAGAACCTAGCTCCTCATTCTCTTTTGCCAGGTGGAAATAGCTCAGTTGGGAAAGTCTTCAAAGAGCCAATTTTTCAAACTTTCCTAACTTCCCTTAGGGATGTCTTACCAAAAGTCAGCATGGCAAACTTCTTCCAGTAGACAGGTGATCAGATGCTACCTTTCCATTTCTATAAAAAAAAGAAGCTAACCAGATAGTTCTAGAGGCAGATGATGGATAAGAAGTCCATATTTGTTTTAATTACGATTGTTGACCTTTCCCTTTAGGGATCATGCTAAATTAAAGTGTCTTACTTCTTACTTCCAGGGCAGGCCAGAGTCTAGTGAGAAGCTCCTAAATGTGAGTTGTGTCTGTGCTGAAGTGCAGACTCATTCATGTACTCAAGCGCCTGGAATACCTCTGCTCCCAGATGGCTAATTCTGGGAGCTGAGGGTTTTGTTTATTTTCCTGCCCTGACTTCTATGGCAGGTCAATGCCCCACTAAGGTCAACCTGCTGTTGAACAACCATTCCACAAGGTTCACATATATTTTGCAGCAGCAGTCCTGTAAATCAACAGGAAAACCACATATTGGAATACACTAGTAGCAAATTAAAGGAATAAGGAGAAAGGCAGAGAATTATCAAAGGATGAGGAAACCACAAATAGAACAAAACACTGCAGAGTGAGAGGAGATGCAGCTACCCTTTGGGGTTAGGTGAGTCTAGTTTTTTGGACTAGACCCTGAGTCTTCTGGACTAGACTTTGAGCACTGAGTCTTCTGGAGATAGGCTGTGCAGCACTGAGTAATATGTAGTTCTTCAAGAAAACACTTTAATCGTGCTAGAATCCTCCTCAAACACTCTGCTGTGCTTTGCTCCTTGAAATTACTTCCTCATTCCTTGATAACTATCAGACATTTAATTAAATAGCAAAACATTTGTTTAGTGAGTAGATTTCAGTTTTGTACCCTGGTCAAAGACTAATTAAGAAAAGCAGTGATGATAACACATTCTGGAAAACCTCTTTTTTTCCAAAAGATATCAGACTCCCTGTTAGTTTTGGCAACATCACAGAGAGTTCTTTAATGATGAATGATATGAAATCTACAGGCAGGTTTCAAGCTATCTTGACAGTTTGGGTGAGCATGTTATCTCTATGAGGTGAACTGAATATATTTATGTCAGGAATAAAGGCTGAGATAAGCTGAAGCTCAAGATTGTTATGGTTATAGTTAAGGCTGAAAATAAAAATGTAAGGAAAACACACATTTCTCTCAGTGATCTTACTAGTTGTCAGTTTTATTTGGTTTATATCAGAACTATTATCCTCTCTTCTTCTTTCTTTCCCCCTAAGACACACACACCCACACACCCTTTCCCAGAATAAAAAATAAATACAGGGAGAATAATACAGTAGCATCAATAGAATTGTGTGTGTGTGTGTGTTTCTTGTCCTTTAGCTTGGCTTAGCTGCTTTTTGTTACCCTGTAAAATTTAAATTAAGCATGCTAGGTTTATTTTAAAGGGAGACAAAATATGTATTCTATCATGAAAATACCATTTAAGTACTAGTACAATATTGTTCTGAAGAGCACTCCAGTGAACTACGTACACAGATTTTTGCAAGAAATATCACTTACATTGTAACAAACTGTCACCAGAATAAAGCACTGAGTAGATGTCCAAAGTGCTTCAGATAGATTTCCAACAGTAAAACACTTAACGTCTCTGGATCAAATTTGTGGGCTCAAGGCCAAGTTAGAACATCCTGCCAGGATACCACCTGTCAGCTGAGCCCCAGAAGTTGTTTGTGCAATTGTTTTCAGTCACTGGAAAGTGACTTATGGTAACTTGGCCCATGGTAAAAGAGTCTTAAGGTGATTTGCCTTGTCTTGCATTGCAGTCAAGGCATTTACCTGGCTTCAGGTCATAAGCGAGAATGTTTCTAAACTTCTGATCTCTGAAATAGTTCGAGAAAGTGACAGGCAGCCTTTCTAAATGGCTTTCTAGGATTGAAACAGCTTAGAATTACTGAAATAACTTATTTTATTTTACTGGAAGCAGAGGTCCATCCAGCTGCAGTCTCCTGTCTCTGACAACAGTCAGCAGCAGATGCCTTAGTTTGGGCTTAAGAACAATACAAATAAATGATACTTCCCTGGAGTATTTTCCCGGTATGTTTTGCATCTCAGAGGCTTCCCAAATCTGAGACAGTTCCCAAGTATGTATTAATCCTCAATGGATTTCTCATCTATTAAGTGAGAGTGCTCAATGACAATCCCAAACGGTGGTACACTAATTGCTTATTGTTTCACTGCTTTTTTCTCCAAGTGGTGCACTCTATGAACCTCTGGCAAGAATGGTATGGAGAATTCTGGTCATGACTTGGAGGGAATTTCTCGGCTGAATATAGAAATCTCTCCATACATAATCCAATCACAAAAAGCTACCATTTATTTTATATTTTGTTTGAAACAAAAACTTCTAAAGTATAAACCTCAGCACACTTAGAGGTATCCAGCTTGAACCACTGGATATACATCTACTTACATAGGAAAACATCAATTTTTAGGCTTTACATACATTGTTGCTTTCATAACAAAGTTATTTTGAAAACACCATTCATGAAGTATCATTTATATTGCCTAACTGTTTAAATAGAAAAATATAACCACCACACAGATTAGAAGCAAATAGAAATAAGTTTCATATTATTTTTATCTTATTAAAAGATCCTTATAAACAGGACTATGTTATCCAGTTGATATGAAAAGTTAATGCCTTTTCATGCTATGTCCTCACAGCTAAATTCTGGTTTAATCTTCAGAATGTCAAGTACCAACTGCTAAATAATAGTCTGGGCAACCCAACGCTCTACCAAATAAAAGAACATAGGCCTGGAAATGGATTTTGTTCATCTTCGAGGTTTCTAGTGATAGAAATGCATCCCCATAATATAATCTGCTACTGAGTTTGGCTACACTTAATGTAAGAAAGCTTTGTTTGTTGGCTAAACTAATTATCTGACAATTTATGCATGTTCCATCTTGTTCTATCCTCCATCACTAGAAAGAATAGACCATTCCTTTGAATTCCTTTGCAAAGCTGCTTTTTTTCAGCAATGTTTTTTATGAATTTGAGATTGCTGGCAATCTTGTCTTTTGAATTCTGGACTAAACAACCCTAAATCTTTCCTCCAGTGTTTTGGATATTTTCCTCCTCTTTTGGACTCTACCCAGGGGCTCCACATACAGCTTGACGTGTCATCCAAAACTACACCCAGTCTTCTAGCTTAGAAGTTGCCAATGGAAAGTCAAACAGCCTAAGAATAACCATCTAACTTCTTCAAAGTACAGAATGTCAGAAACATTGAAATCTTACATTAAATAAATTGTTATGTCTTTGGAACAATGAAGACTATCTCAATATTTTTGCATTAGAAATTGTTCTTATTGGCTGTGTTGCCAAATACACTAAATTTTATGGACATACCCAGAGGGTCAGAAATAAATCTGGCTTTTCATAGGATCCGTTTATCTCATAAACCCAAACAAATATACCATTGAAGCATACTCTGGATCTTATTGAGTGGTTTATATTGCATTCAGTGTACTGAGAAGAAAGAGCAGAGAGTGTATTTTTTTTCTTGTAATATCACTACTAATTTGAGCAATGCTCTTTCATTAGGTGGGTCTTTTTTTTTGCAAGAATTCATGGAAATTATATCAATATACATTCATATTTGGCCAAAGATATAGTACCGGCAGGTCTGTGGAGCTGAAATATCTGGTGATAGCTGGTTTAAGCAGGTTGAAGCATTCAAAATAAAAACATTTATTTAGTTAAAAGAGCTGATATGAAATGTAACAATTTCCCATCAGGAACAACAACATTGACTAAAGACCAAATAAGAGTTCATAAAGTGTGAGCATGCTTTAGCTGCTCCAGAAGAGCAGCTGCCCACAGTGAGGATTGATGTTTATTTGTATAGATGAACTTTCAAAGAAATTATTAAGGTATTAGCTAAATTATTTTTTTTTGGACAATATACTAAGGATGTTTATTGCAAACAGAGATGGCAATGCTGCTTGTACTATACAAATTATGACAGGTGGACTAACCTCAAAAGACTGAATCAACCCTCAGTTTAAATAAACAATTAGTGATTTTGTGTTCACAACATCTTGACGAAACTACCTGTGTTTCTGAATAAAAACTCTCTTAACCTTCTCATGAAAACCTCCTCTTTACCACTTCATAGGTCACTTTAAAATCTTACTTCCACTAATATTTGTCATAATGACCACGCTTCATGAGTCATCTTGCCCAAATCAAATATCTCATGAAAATTATTGCCAAAGGTTATCTGTGAGGTTAAAATCTTACTGCTATTCAGAGAAGACTTAATATTTATTTGGGTAAGCCATTACCTTGTAGTGAAACATAAACATGATTCTTCATGGGAGGAAAATCCTATGAACTTTAGGGAATGAGTCAACATCTAGCTACTGGGAGTCAAACTAATAGCTCTGGTGCAGTTTTATTTGGTGTTTTCTGTAATGGTAGTGCTGCAGGTATCTATCTCTTTCAGAAACCTCTGTTTTATGTTCCCCCATTTACAGCTACCAAGAAAGTCACTGTTTCCATTCCTCTTTCTCAAAATATACAAGGTGTCTGAAAAATTACTTCCTTTATATCCATTCAAAGACATAGATTTTGATGTTGAAACATGCAGTAGGAAGACTTGTGATAATCTGAGAGCCTATGGGGAATGAGGAGTTTTGAAAGGACTCCAGGGGAGGATGGAGAGAAATAATATGTAAAGAAAAACAAACAAACAAATGCAAAAAGAAAGACAGAGAGAAAATAAACCTAACACTTAATGTAGTATTAGGAGATATCTTTAAAAAAAATTCATAGAGTCTTACCAGAAGAAACAATGCTCATTAAAACATATTTTGAAAGAAATCTATAATGAAAGATTTGAGCAAGTCCTCACAAAAGTTTTGCAAAATTTTGTGCTTCTTCAACTCATTCCATTTTTAACAGAGATTTTCTAAGGCACAGCTGAAAATCTTTGCCCTAAAAAGGCCATTTATACATCTGTTGCTTTTCCTTTAAGATGAAATTGTAACTAGCAAAGCTCGCCATGTCTTCACATCCCAACACCAAAAACAGAACCCATCTGTGTTCCAGCTTTGAAAAATGAGGATTAGACTTTCTCTGTTTAACTTTGTCTTAAGTTTCTACAAGATCATACTGTGGTTGCAGTAAAACATCAGCTGTAATACTTTTTCTTTGTTTATTGCCCCCTTAGGTATAACACTGTAATCAAAGAGAGGTCAATTGTATCAAAATAGGGGTTTGCCAGAACTTATCTGGCATAAATTCTTCCCTTAAGGTTTTATTATGAAGTGTGACTTCTGAAAAAAGCCTATTAAGTATTATCCAAAATCTAAGAAATTACTTGACAAGACTAGAAACATAAATTACATGGATCTGAATACAAAGGACAGAGTAAGCACTAGATCTGAAGGCTAATCACAGTCAGTATCAGATCAGTAGTAGTAAAGCATAATTTAAAATACTTTTATATAATGCATTCATTATAGGTAGATACAAGGCTAACCACTGTATATGATGAAATTGGATTATTTGCTGGGGCAGTGCACATTGTCCAAAAGGAACTTCTAACAGTTTAATTCTTCTTCTAGAAGTCAGAGTAGGAAACACACTGAAAATTTAAAATTCTGTTTCAGCCCACTGTGACACCTGCATCATTCAGTAGCCACTCACCAGATGAGTTTGTCACTACCAGTAGTGTTTAAAAAAGGCTCACAGGAGGTCTTGGGAATATTACAGTGCTGTAATGTGCAGGCCGAAATAACTTTTTAAAATAAAGTGGCATTTAACCACCAAAAGCAAAAGCCACCATCCAATCTTTATGTATTTCTTGCCTTCATACATGGAGGTAAATGTTCAGTACAACCATATTACATGGAAAGATGCAAAAGACCTGTGCTGAAGATTTACAAAGACATAGGTCTTACTATGGAGAAAAAAACCCCAATAAAACCAACCCACCAACCACATAAAAAAAAACCTCCACAAACCCAGCAGAAATCTTTCTTGACAAATAGTGGTTAATACATTTTTGACGTTGAAAATATTAGCTTTTTGCAGTATGGGAACTCATTCTTTATTCCTTAGTCTGAGCTAAGCATATTTCTGTTACATTACATAGATACCCTGTCAGCTGTTGGAGAGAAAATTCTATTCCCATCAAGATACACAACAAAACTCCCACTACTGTCTGTGGAGTCAACATGTCACCTAGTTTGTCTTTGTCAGTTTGTGTTCTGTAATTTTGGTGTTGCCAATTTTCACATTATTTGGAGTTTTCCTTAAAACTCCCTTGGCAATCCAAAATTCACCTTAAGAAGAAAAGATCTTGGGGATGTAAACAAAAGAGGTGTCTGATTAATTTAATTTTAAAGCAACAATTCAAAATAGATCTGAAGACTCACTCTCTTTTTCACCACTGACTCCATCTTCTCCATTGGTTAAAGACATATATGCATATCTTTACTGCAGAAGTCTAAAGGTGAGATGACTTTTTGCATAAGGTTTGCAACTAAAACTACTCTTCTAGTAAGTTTGAATTTTCTACGTGCAATCATACAAATGGTAGCAAAACCTCTGACCTTGTTAGTAATATTCGCAAGTATTTGGCAAATATTTCTGGTTTATTTTCAGTGCTGTGTTGATAGAATACTCACAAAGGTGGAGGTATGGCTTTACATGTATTTTCTCTGGAAGAAAACTCTGGTTGAAAAGTTCCTGAACTGCTCCACTTCTTTTTTATCCTAACTTCTCAATTTAATACTCCAGTTATGCCAACACAACAGTTCACTGGGCCATTCTGTAAAAACCAAATTGATGGTTTGCTCTCTGAAAGCAAAGTTCTGGGCTTTTTTCTAAATCTCTGCCACCTCACTATTCAGAATAGTCTTACAATGCAGGCTGGAGCAGTGAACTAGAATCACAGACATCTGGGCAAGACATTTTTGCCCTGTCTTTCCAGTGGAATAAAATATATACTACTGCACACAGAGTTCAAAGGGTTAATGAGTAGGAAGCCATATCTCGCAGGGGCACAAAATGCAGTTAGCAACTTTCTAAGCCTAAATTTGATATCAATCAGTAACATTTTAGTATCTTTTTGTAGTCAGTGGTATTCAGGTAACTAGTAATTTTCTGCTGCCTGTAGACATGTAAGTAAATAATGTCTGGAAACCCCTTAAAAAAAAAAAACAATAGACAATCATCAGTTTTCTAAGTGCCAAGTGGAAACTTGGTCAGAGTTTGCAGAGAAGTGAACAAATCTCAAATGGACCTCTGTGAGGACCCTCCTGACACTGCTGACCCAAAAACGTTTGGCATATTTCAAGATCAAGATTACAAGGCTCAAGATTTAATATAGATTTTAATATTTAAAATTATAAGATTAAGGAGTGAATGTCACTGTTCTGTGACATTGTGAATGTCACAAACTGTCTCTGCAATGAATATACCTTGATTGAAATTGGCCATACTGTCACCTAAACGCATGCACACTTCGGTAATTATCTAAATCATCTATCCATGCAAACAGGTATTCTGACTAATTGTCACCATCCTATAGTATTATATTTGTCTTCTTCACTTAGTCCTTCCATTCATTTCCTGAGTCTTTTTTATAAATTTATCATAATTCTTAAAGATCTACCTGTCTCCTTGTACACCACTGTGAATACAGATCATCTATTACTATAATATTGTAATTACTATAAGAGGGCAGCACCACCATACTCATAACCCATGTTTGCTAAGCACATCTGACCTGAGAGAATAAGAAAACTGAGCAATTGAATAATCATAGTTAAAGCAATAGAAAAGAATTGGTAAATAAAATTGAATCATGCTTATACTCAAAATAGCCAAACAAGTGGAATTATGCAAAAAAATTCTTATGAATTACAGTCTTTCTCTGAGATTTGCATTAGATGAATGAGCTGTAATACTGTCTAAACATGTAATGCAGTTTATTTGGCTTTGTTGTTCTTGCTTTTGTTTCACATGTTGCATATAAAACAAGAATGAGTTAGGACTTAGATACTTTGCCAACTCTTTAAGTACAAGTGTTCATTCTCCAGCACCGATGGTTATAGAATGTCATGAAAGAGCAAAAAAGGAAAGTATTAAAATATCTGCCACGCTACCACACTAGGAGTATTAATGAGCCTGGGAATACCAGAATTTGATAATTAGCTAAACCTATTAAATAAAATAAGGACGATTAGCACACTTGTAGTTTAATTGTTTGTCTTAATGTTTCCAGGGTGGTGGTTTGATGCCTGTGGTCCCTCCAATCTCAATGGGATGTTCTATACAGCTGGGCAAAACCATGGAAAACTCAATGGCATCAAGTGGCACTACTTCAAAGGCCCCAGCTATTCCTTGCGCTCCACCACCATGATGATTCGGCCCTTGGACTTTTAAAGGCATTCAGTGGTGAATCCCAGAACAAACCAGGATGACACTGCCTTCAGCAGTACCACTATCACAGTTTGAAGGTAAAAGGTGAAGGACTTCTTGAAAGCAACATGTAGGGATGATGAAAAGTTGCTTCATTATCACCCCATAACCTGGAAAAACTCCCCAAGTTACCCCACAAAAACTCCCCCATTTTGATGACTGGGGGAGGCTTGGTTTAGAAGAAGGTGGATGCAACAATTTTCCAGAGAAGAACACCTGGATCTGCCTAAGCCCGGTGCTTGTCAGGGGATGTCTTTTTTTTGTTTGTTTTTTCTAAAGACGCAAATATGTACAAGATTATTCAGCAACAGCATCAGAATTTGAAGAACTGAAATACATCAACTACAGTCTATTGAGCAGAATGTTATTCAGCAGTGAAATGCCAAAATTATACCCATGAAAAAGGATTACAGAGACACCTTTATTAAAACTCATCTTAAAGCACTCAAGGTGACCACTCCAAATATTGTTTTTCTTAAATGAACTGAATTTGGATAGTGGATGGATTTATGTTAATCCCAGAGTCAAATAATTTGTGCTAGTATTATTTTTCATTAAATCCTTTAAGGACATGTTTCTCATAAATAAACTGAGTCAAACATATAAAGAATGATAAGGGTAATAAGCATAAATTCTTCAGTTGCTCTGTAGAAGTAAATCAGATAATTGGCATAATCCCTGAGCTAGGATTTATAGTGTGATAACAAAGTAGTTGTGTTTTGAGGTTTTTCTTTTCTTTCATTAAAGGCAGTCTGAATGTCATGCAGAAAAATTAATGGAAGGTTTCAAGAATGTGAAATATTATCCTAAAGAAAATACAGGATTTTGCATGGAATATTTCGTCAAAAGTAAACAGGAAGGCAAACTGTTAGGGTATATAAAAATTACATAAATGCATAGCTTAAGGCAATGGATTCGTTTTACAGTATCCTTGCATGTGCACAATTTATCATTATTTTTCTTTATTATTACATTTCTGTGAATATCAGAAGCATGCCAGTTCTACACAGTGCTTAGGCTACAAATATAAAAAAATAGTCATCAGAGCAATATAGAAAATAAAGAATTGTGAACTTGTAAATAGTATGTTTATATTTCCTGTAATGGTCATTTGATTTGTACAGGCAGCCCTGACCCTACTCCAAGGGTACAAAAACTCAAAAGGATATAAATATTATAAGAACTTTAGAAGACTGCTTAAAGGTTGTTAGCATGTAATTTTGTTATATTAAAATGTTGCAGAAGTGGGGGGCAAGATGCACATTTCAACTCCTGAAGAAGATCAAGTTCCTAAAACAACAAGCAACAAAATAGTTGGGTGGCCCATGAGGGAATAGAGAAAACTCTTTCCATTTACAGCCCCTTGTGATTTAGTTATATGGATAAAATCCATTTGGGAAAGTAACTTGCAGTCATTCTATTTCTGCTATATATAAAATGAAGGAGTTTACCCTACTTCCACTGAAATCAAAAGTAACATTTTCATCAAGTAAATTAGGACCAACATGACATGCAAAATCTGCATGTGGTGACTTTTTTGCTTGTCTGTTGCTTTGTTACATTCATTAAACTGTTCCTGAGATCAGGCACAAAAAAGATCTGATTATATTTTAAAGGATGATGATAAAGTAACTGCCTTTACTTTTTTCTCTTTCCC